TAGTATTGACATGACAAATAGATTTTTTTAAAAATTTTTATTTTTTTATTTAAAAATATTAACTTTTATTTTTTTTATTTAAAAATTAATTAAATAGTAATATTGACATGATAAATAGATTTTTTTTAAAATATTAATATCTTTAAATAAAAAAATTAAAAATTGATATCCTTAAATAAAAGATGTTAAAAGTTAACATATTTAAATAGAAACAATTAAAAATTAATAAAATTAACATTTTTAAATAAAAAATATAAATTTAGTATATTTATTTGCATCATTTCTCTCCGCCCATTAGCACAATCTAAGGGATTGGGGCATGTGTTTCTATTACAGTAACTTCTTTTGAGAAAACTACAACCATATAGTTTTTTTTTTAATTGCACAATAAGAAATAATTTTCTTTTATCCCTTAATCCACCATATTTACATGCCATATGAATCAAATTCAAAACCTTTTACTTTTAATAAAGAAAGATTATCACTGAATTATCTAAATCATTAATACCAAACAAATTTTTTAATACTAGAGAAAACAAGTAAATGTAAGGTTTATTCTTTTTTTTTTTTTAATTTTTAACAAGTCTACTTAGAATTGTAATACAGCTTGAGCTACATTTTATGCAAGATCAAATGAGCTCCATGCTGTGGACGAAGAGTTGGAGAAGGGGCAGGAGCATGGGCATAGGAAGGGGAAAGTTCAAACCAAAAGCGTTGTAGAATCATTGTGATGGCCAATTTTGCCTCATTTAAAGCAAAGTTTTGTCCCATGCATATTCTAGGACCCCATCCAAAGGGAAGATAAGAGACTTGATTTTTCGTCGCCTTTGAAACTCCTTCAGCAAACCTTTCTGGTTTAAAATCCTTGGCATCGTCTCCCCAAAATTCAGGATCATGGTGTACGAGAATTGTTGGCATGGCAAGTTGAACCCCAGCAGGTAGCGTCAAATTTCCTAGCTTTGTTTCCTTCTGTGTAGACCGAGTAAGTATAGTCCCTGGTGGATAGAGTCTGAGAACCTCATACAAAATTATGGTTACCTGTAAAAATTAGAAGTTTTAAAGTGACTATGAAATAAAATCACTAGTTTGAATGATTGAGCTAAGTAACCAACAAGGCATGAATACAATTTGGTGCACAGGCTATCAACCTATGAATGCATCATAGTAGTTAGCTTCCCATAAATAGAGAATGGGTTGCCCCTACTACGAGGAGGGCAAACAAATGAGGTGAATCATAGCTAACATATACTTAAATTCAGAGGCAGGCATTCATACGGTTAGGAAAAGACATGCTAATGAATAAGGATACAAGAATTTCATTATTAAAAAAAACCAAAGTCGTGATACTTACAACTTTTAAGCGATTCAAGCTGTCGAAATCTGGTTTGTTGTTGCCAAAGATAGATAATACCTCTTCTCTTGCACGAGATTGCCAATTTTGATGTTGTGCCAATAGAACCATTGTCCAACTGAGGGTATTGGAAGTGGTCTCTTGTCCGGCGAAGTAAAATACCTTACACTCTTCAATCACATCATCCATGCTCATTCCAACAGTCTTACTTCCTCCGTCTTCTTTAATTTCTCTAAGATTTGAATCCAAAAGAATACCCAACAAGTCATCATTGGCTGCCTCACCGGCTTTCATTGCGTTCTCTCTTTTGTGGATGAGACCTTTTATTATGGCCCTTACTTCCCTTTCAACTTCCTTCATCCTATTGTTTATCTTGGTTGGGAGAAACCTTCATATAAACAAATGTTAACAATCAATTGCATAATTAGCATTTTAGCTCAAAAAATTGATGGTAATTAATAATGGTTAAATTAGGAATTTTCTTTTCCTGTGACCTGTATGTTTTTGGATAACATAGCTTGATAGGTAGATAAAGAAAAGAATAGTTAGGCTTTTGCCAATCCTCATATATCAATATATCACATCCTAAAAGACAAGAATAATGGCCAAGTTGACTTACCTCCCCCCAGGAATGTAAACTGACTGCAGTGCTTGCATTAACAATTGAATTTGTTCTTGTTGTAGTTTGAAAATTCTTTCTCCTTCCTCATAGTTGCTTCCAAATGCGGTTCGAGAAATGGCGTCACTTGTCAAACAAACTAAATCAGGGCACACGTCTAACTCACAAGATCCCTCAGCAGATACCAATTTCTCCCATTTGCCTACCATATCGCTACAACTTTGGTAAAATGCTGG